TCACAGAGGAACCCCATGGAACAGGTAGTTTTCCGGTGACGACAGCTAAGGTTTGAGTATTTTTTTAGAGAGAAGAGAGGAGGAGAGGATTCAGAGGTGGCGCAATTGAAGAGAATGGGTAGGGTTTGGGGCGTCGTCGGATTAAAAATGGAAAGGATAACGTGGTCCGTTGATCTGAGAGATCAACGGCCACGATTAGAGGAGGTTCTGGGTCGGATAGGGGTCATTTAATTGGGTTGGGTAATTCGGTTAGACATTTTAGGTGTTGGGCTGGGTAATTAAGTCTGAAAAATTAATTGAAAGAGGCTATATTTTAAATACCCAATTAATTTAATAAAAATAACTTTATAAAATAATTTCTAAATGATAAAATATGATTTATGTATGAAAATGATTTAAAATAATTACATAACGTTATAAAATATAAAAAGTCATTTTTTGTATGGATAAGATAATTATGCATATATATGGGCTATTATTGCAAAATATGCAATTGTAGTCTTAAAAATGCAAATGTAATTATAAATAATACAATTAAAATATTTGAACACTTGTATGGGCAAAAATGATGAATTTAGATGATTAAATCATCATAAAGTAATATGAGGGATAATATTTGAATATTTATAGGCCGCACCCCAGTCTTTGAGCTGCCTACATATCCCTAGTTTTACAGGAATCAGGCCATGTGTAGTTTTGGACCCAACGGTGAATGAGGCCGATGGTGTTGTTATAGAAATGGTAGCAAGTTCCGGAAAGACTCCTTCTTTGGGGATGATAGTATCATATAGGTTTATGCTCAGTTATGAAGACGAATCTGAAGTGTAACGGAGGTATCATAGGGCAGATATTGGAGTGGTGGGTAATTGATGGGGTCGATTACGTTTGAAATAATGGTAAGATACAAATGGAGACCGGAAGGGTATGAATGGAAACCAGAGCGAAGGTTGCTCCTATTTGAAGTACCTCCTGGATTACCTGCAAAACTTAAGATACATGCATGCAAGTATATAGATTACTGCAAGAATTTAAACATGATGCAAACTCCTTTTGGACCGTGCAGGTTGTCTTTGGACAAAGAAGATGACGTCCTTAGACCATGACGTCCTGGGCCATGAACCATGAGATAAGGGATTCGCAGGCCATGAAATGATGTTCTGAAGCCATGAAAATGGTGCCTCTAAACCATGACGCCCTTGAATAATGATGCGCAGTATTAAGAGATCCTCAGGCCATGACATGGTGTCTTCAGGCTACGAGGATGGTGCCTTCGAACTATGACGCCTTTGGATAAATTGGCTATACGTCAGCCCATGAAATGCAGAGACATGATACCCAAGGTGATAACAAGGCAATGTTTAGCCTCGTGCAAAGTTCGGGGCAGAGCTTAGTCCCGAGAGAAGAAGATAGTGCAAAGTTTGGAATAGAGCACCACTTATGCAGAGAGAGACAATGCATAGTCTCGTGAGAAGGCAGTGCTTAGCCTTATGAAAAATAGGTAGGCAGGGCTTAGCCTCATGCGAGACAAGGCTTAGTTTCATGCAAAGAGAAGGCAATGCTTAGCCTTATGCAAATAAGTAGGCAGGGCTTAGCCTCATGCGAGATTCGAGACAGAGCTTAGTCTTATGCAAAGAGAAGGCAATGCTTAGCCTAATGCAAATATGGAGGCAGGGCTTAGCCTCATGCAAGGATCGAGACAAGGCTTAGTCTCATGCAAATAGGGAAGGCAATTCTTAGCCTTATGTAAATATGGAGGCAGGGCTTAGCCTCATGCGAGCATCGAGACAAGGCTTAGTCTCATGCAAATAGGGAAGGCAATGCTTAGCCTTATGCAAATAGGGAGGCAGGGCTTAGCCTCATGCAATGATCGAGACAGGGCTTAGTCTCATGCAAGGGAAGGCAGTGCTTAGCCTTATACAAATAGGGAGGCAGGGCTTATCCTCATGCAATGATCGAGACAGAGCTTAGTCTCATGCATAGAGAAGGCAATGCTTAGCCTTATGCAAATATGGAGGCAGGGCTTAGCCTCATGCGAATGTGAAGGCAGTGCTTAGCCTTATGCAAATGAACAAGTATCAAATAGGAGTAGAATATTTCTTAGCTGGAGAGACATTTGTGTCCGATGACCTGATTGGCAGTGATTTTGATGTGTGAACATTTGTGGATGCTCTTGCTATGTTTGCTGTGCTTGCATCCAAAGAAAAATTATGAGTTTTGTAAGGGGGGAAGGTTGGTTCGTGCCTTCTTCTGCTGGCTCTACTTTGCTCTGTTCTGGAGGTCCTGTTCGAGTTACCCTAGGTGACACCTAGCTGCCTTAGAAATGATGTTTTCGAAAATACGTACTTATTGACGAAATAGAGTTATATTAGAAAACATAGTGATATGTAATATCAAGTAAACTAGATGAACTAATGACTGCAACACTTTTTAGAGACATTGCATCTTCCTTGCGATAGAATTTTGAGGGTCCTCCTCAAAATTCTGCCCCAGTTTGATCTTTTGGTCATTTTGCGTGCAGCGAAGTTTGTTGAATCTGTTCCGGAATTTTTAGAATCCTTCTCAAAATTCTTCCCCAGTTACTTAACCGACTTCTGACTTTCTGGCATATGATGGCGTTGGCTGGACTTGCTCCGGAATTTTGAAGGTCCTCCGCAAAATTCTACCCCAGTTTTTTGTTTTGGGGGAAAATGAAGATTTTATCATGATATGACCGAACCCACAGCGCTGCCTACGTATCCCCTCTTAAATGGGAATCAGGTCAAGCGTAGTTCAATGTCATCGACATACACCTCTATTTCCTTGTGTATCATATCATGGAAGATGGTTGTCATGGCTCTCATGTCGTCATATGACCATGCCAAAATGTCCTCGTACTCTTTTAGGAAACGAGTATATTCTTCCTTCTCTGCCGGTGATAAGTGAATGCTTATGCGAGTCTCTTTGACGGTTTCGGAATCTCCCAAATTGATTGCTCCAGTCTCGTCCAGATTGGACTTAGGTTTGTTCTCAAAGTTCTCAACTTCTCTGACAACTTCCTCAGGTATTTCATCTGCTTCTTCTGAATCACTATCCTTATATTGCTTTGCCTCATTACATATCACAGTCGTTGGTTCATCAGGAAAAGTAATAATAACGATGTAGAAGAAAAAATGTGAAAGATAATAATGAATAATAAATAGCACTGTATTGATGAAATATTAAAAATATCCAAAATAAGTACGGCTCGATGACTCGAGCAATTATTTCAAAACAAAATGCCACTTTAAAACATAATTACTGAAAATATCTTAAATGCATAGCATGGCTATAAAACAAATTAGGCTTATTTGCCAAGCTACTGATAATAGGCTAAGTCTAGGTTATTTGGCGATTATTTATGCTCCCGCTTGATTATGTTTCAATGTCATAATATGGTTAAATGATGAAAAATGGGCTCTAATTATGAATTTTACACATTGCAGGATGGTGAGCCTATATGATGCCTTAAAGTGGTGATTGGAGTTACATTGGAGCAAGAAAGACCCCTCGGAGCTGAGTGCGCGCAAAGACGAGACAAAGAATTGAAGAAAAATGGCCTGAACTAGCGCGAAGTCTAGCGCGAGGTCTAGCGCGTTCGCGCTAGTTCAAAAGCGGGAGGCAGAATGACAAGGCTACTAGCGCAAACTTTAGCGCGAACATTAGCGTGTTCGCGCTAGTCCCAGTTCCGGAAAAGGTCTGTTAGGGGCAAAATCGGAAATCTGGAGGAATTTTCACTTAACCTATATAAAGTCAAGCTCGCCCAAGGAGTAAAATATCAAGGTTTTCATAGTTTAGGGCAAGAAACATAGAGGCAAGAGGCAAGGAGGAAAATCCAACATCAAGTTCTTCTTTTCTTCTTCTTGTTTTTATGTTTTGAATGAAATTAAACATTATTGAGATGAACACTGCTATGAGTAGCTAAAACTTATTGTTCTAGGGTCATGGGTGAAACATGATTGTTGTTGTTCAGTGTTTAATTTAACAAAGTTTGTTTAATCATATTAGGTTGTTCATTTAATTTTGTTCTTAATTATTTTGCTGAGTAGCTAACAGTGGAATACTATTTACGAATCTATAGTTGAACTCGAAAGTGGGAACTTTGGATTGCATATAGAATTAAATAGAGCAAGTTCTTGAACCTGGGCATCGGGGGACGGATTCACAATTAGGATAGACATATACCTTATTGCCTTGCTTGGTTGAAATACAAGAACTGTAAATGCATTCTTGTTAATCTTAACTCCATAGACATATAGGCGTTAGGTTAACTTGAATAGGCGAGTAAGAATTCGACAGATCCTTATGAGCATTATTAACCCGGTCAATCAATAATCCAGATAAATCAATTAGTTATTTTAAGCCAAGAACGCAACATGACCGTTACCTAACCCGTGACCCTGGAATATTCTTCCCTATTGATTGTTATTCGAAATTGTTGTGTGTTTAATTGATTATTCTAGTTATTTTAGTAATTGATATTTTTAGGTAGTAAATTAGACACAACTATATTTTGTGATAAATCTCTTGGATCAATAAGTTAATTGAGTTTGAATCAGTCAAAAGTTAATCACAAGTCTTCGTGGGAACGATACTCTACTCACTATTTTATTACTTGACGATCACGTGCACTTGCGTGAGTGTTTTGATTGCAACAAGTTTTTGGCGCCGTTGCCGGGGACTTAGAAATTGGCTACTTGACTGAGTTAAGCTTTTATTGATTATTTGTTCAAGCTTTAATTTTTAGTTTACCTGGTTTGTGTGAACACAGGCTTTTCTTCTGAATGCGGAGGAGCCGAAGCGCAAACAATCAAATTCCCCTTGATCCTGAAATTGAAAAAATACTTCACAGATTGAGGAGGGAAGTAGACGCAAGAACCAAAATTGAAGGAGAGTTGGACACAGTAGTTCAACCACGGCCAATAGAGATGGCAGGGAATGAGGAACGCGCAGTGATTGAAGCCGCAAGGCCCAGTCTTGCTAATATGACTCAGGCTATTGTGAAGCATGATATCACAGGGCACTTTGAACTCAAACAGTACATGGTGCAGCTGATCCAGTCCACAGGGCAATATGTGGCTCTATCTCATGAAGATCCGCAGAGGCATATTCAGAATTTTTTGGAAATTACGGACACTTACAATTATCCGAATGTTTCCAAGGACTATGTCAGGCTGACACTTTTTCCCTTTTCACTGCTTGGGGACGCTAAGGAGTGGTTGCAGAAGGAGCCCGCAAAATCAATCCGCACTTGGGATGATCTAGCAAGGAAATTCTTAATCAAGTTTTTCCCCACTAAGAAAACGAAGGTATTGAGGAGTCAAATTCTTGGGTTCGAACAACGAGATGGCGAGACACTTCGTCAAGCATGGGAAAGGTACAAGAAGATGCTCAGAGACTGTCCACATCATTGCCAAACTGACGAGGTATTGGGTCACACTTTCGTGAATGGGTTAGATGATGCCTCAAAGATGAATCTTGATTCAGCTTGTGGGGGTAGTTGCATGGCCAAACCGTACAGTGAAATCCAAATCTTGCTAAATAACTTCACTGCTAATGATCATAATTGGCAAGGTGAGGGTGATTCACGAAAGGCAATTAAGCAGAACTCAGCTGGAGTACTTGAGCTCGATGACTTGACAGCCATGAGAGCCGATATTGCAAAGTTGGGTAATCAGATGACTAGGATGACAATGCAGCAACCACAACCAATGCAACATGTACAACAAATGGCTAATTGCTGCGAATTATGTGGTGACAATCATATGAGCGACATGTGCCCTTCGAATCCTGAATCCATATACTATGTGGGGCAGCAGAACAGAGGTCCACCGAATCAGCATGCACAGTATGGGAATTCTTACAATCCAAATTGGAGGAATCATCCCAACTTCTCATGAGCTGGAAATCAGCAGAATCATAATAACTATAGACCCCAAGGGAATTTCAATACACCTCAGAAGCCACCCCAAAATATGGAAGAGAGTACAAATGATTTGCTAAAGAAGTTGTTGATTGACAATCAACAGCTCAGAACCGATTTCAGAAATCTTAAAAGGCAGATGGGGCAGTTGGCAACAAATCAGAACACCAGACCTGCAGGCGCTCTTCCCAGTGATACAGAAAAGAATCCTCAAGTGAATGCAGTTACACTCGGAAATGGGAGAGAGTTGGAGGAAGTGCCAAAGAAAAGAAAAGACAAAGTCACACCCGAGGGGGAGTTGATACCGAAGGAAACTCATAAATCGAAGAATACTGATACAATTCCAGAGCCAGTGGAGGCTACAAGGACACCACCACATTTCCCCTAGAGATTGCAGAAAAAGAATTATGATCGTATGTTCAACAAATTTCTCCCCATGTTGAGCCAGGTTCAATTAAATATTCCACTTGTTGATGTACTGCGTGAAATTCCAAAGTATGCTAAGTACATAAAGGATATAGTGGCTCACAAGAGAAGATTGAATGAACTTGAGACAGTGCACTTACTGAGGAGTGCACCTCAAGGGTCCAGAACAAGCTTCCTCAAAAGCTTAAGGATCCTGGCAGTTTCACCATTCCGGTGCGCATTGGTAATATTGATGTGGGTCGTGCTCTTTGTGATTTGGGGGCGAGTATAAATCTGATGCCCTTATCTTTATTCAAGCAATTGGGCCTGGGAGCTCCAAGGCAACTACTGTGATGTTGCAGCTGGCTGATAGATCAATAGCACACCCCGAGGGTGTGATTGAAGATGTGTTGCTGCAAATTGGAAACTTTATCTTCCCAGCTGACTTCATTATCCTGGATTATGAGGCTGACGAACTGGTCCCAATCATATTGGGGCGACCTCTCTTGGCTACTGGTGATGCAATCATTAAAGTGAGAGAGGGAAAAATGATTTTGAGGGTGGATGATGAGGAAGCAGTCTTTAATGTGTACAAAACAATCCAACTCCCCCGCCATTATGAGGAGCTCTCAATGATATCCGTTGTTGAGGTTGATGAGCAAATTCTTGACACGAGTGTATATCTAGACGACTCTCTAGAGAAAGCACTTATGTTGTTCAATAGCATGGGAAAGGATGAGGAGCTTGAGGAGATGATGCACATCCTGGATACGTCTTGTGCTTATATGCATGGGATACACCCCTTTGAGCCCTTGAATAGGCCAGGTGGGCTACCCCCCAAACCGTCAATTGAGGAGGTGCCAAAATTGGAGCTTAAACTGTTGCCCCCTCACCTTCAATATGCTTATTTGGGTGACTCCGACACCTTACCTGTTATTGTTTCTTCTGAATTGTCTAAATTGCAGGAAGAGAAGCTGTTGAGGGTGCTACGTGAGCACAAGCGAGCACTTGGGTGGACAATGTCTGACATCAAAGGCATTAGTATAGCTTTTTGCATGCATAAAATCCTCATGGAGGACGGACATAAGCCCAGTGTAGAGCAACAACTCCGACTCAATCCAATCATGAAAGAAGTGGTAAGAAAAGAAGTGATTAAGTGGCTTGACGCATGTATTGTATTTCCAATCTCAGATAGCAAATGGGTAAGCCCCGTTCAATGTGTACCTAAGAAGGGGGGATGACTGTGGTTGTTAATGAAAATACTGATTTGATTCCCACAAGAACGGTCACTGGGTGGAGGATTTGTATAGATTACCGAAAATTGAATAATGCCACCCTAAAGGACCACTTCCCTCTCCCCTTTATTGACCAAATGCTTGATAGATTAGCTGGCCAGGAATACTACTGTTTCCTAGATGGTTACTCCGGGTATAATCAGATTGCTATAGCCCCAGAGGACCAAGAGAGAACTACATTTACGTGTCCATATGGCACGTATGCGTTCAAGAGAATGCCCTTTGGTCTCTGTAATGCACCTGCGACTTTTCAAAGGTGTATGATGGCTATTTTTACTGATATGGTTGAAAGATTTGTATAAGTGTTCATGGATGATTTTCTGTGTTTGGGTGCTCTTTCGATAACTGCTTAATGAATCTCGATAAAGTACTTACTAGATGTGAAGAGACAAACCTGGTGCTAAACTGGGAAAAGTGCCACTTCATGGTACGTGTAGGTATAGTATTGGGGCACCAGGTGTCTAAAAATGGTTTACAGGTGGACAAAGCAAAGGTGGAAGCGATTGAAAAATTGCCCCCACCAACGTACGTCAAAGGCATTCGCAGTTTCTTGGGCCATGCAGGTTTTTATCGTTGTTTCATTAAAGATTTTTCGAAAATTTCCTCTCCCTTGTGCAGGTTGCTTGAGAAAGATGTCTCCTTCAAGTTCGATGATGCCTGTCTGAAAGCATTTGAGGAGCTGAAGGGAAGGCTAGTGACTGCACCAATTATCATTGCCCCGGATTGGGAGCAACCCTTTGAGTTGATGTGTGATGCGAGTGACATAGCTATTGGAGCTGTTTTGGGACAACGGAGAAATAAAATCTTTCACTCCATCTACTGTGCGAGCAAAACTCTGAATCCAGCCCAGATGAATTACACAGTTACTGAAAAAGAGTTGCTTGCAGTGGTGTGGGCGTTTGACAAGTTCAGCTCATATTTAGTGGGGAGCAAAGTCATCGTCTACACCAGATCATTCAGCTATCTGATACTTGTTTGAGAAGAAAGACGCCAAGCCGAGACTGATTCGTTGGGTCCTCCTCTTGCAAGAGTTTGACTTAGAAATCGAGATCGAAAAGGGACAGAGAACCAAGTGGCTGATCACTTGTCCAGGTTAGAAAATCGGAGCAATGTAGTTGAAGGTGGGTCTATCAAGGAAACATTTCCTGATGAGCAGTTATTGGCAATCACCTCAAATGAAGCCCCGTGGTATGCAGATTATGTGAATTTCATTGCAAGTGGGGTGACACCACCGGAATTGACACCCGATAATAGAAGAAGGTTCCTACATGATGTGAGGTTTTATATGTGGGATGAGCCATTCTTATACCGGCTATGCGCAGATCAGTTGGTGCGAAGATGTGTTGCAGAAGAAGAGATGAATGCAATATTGCATGACTGTCACGCGTCCCCATACGGAGGACATCACGGGGGAGATAGGACCGCCCAGAAAGTTCTACAATAAGGTTTCTATTGGCCCAAATTGTTTAAGGATGCACATGCCTTTGATAAAATGTGTGATAGATGCCAAAGAACCGGAACAATCACCAAGAGGCATGAGATGCCTTTGCAGAATATTCTGGCAGCAGAGCTATTTGATGTGTGGGGAGTTGACTTCATGGGACCATTCCCATACTCTAATGGGCACAGGTACATCTTGATGGCAGTTGATTATGTGTCTAAGTGGGTGGAGGCCATTGCTCTTCCCACAAATGACGCTAAGGTAGTGGTGAGTTTTGTAAAGAAGCACATCTTCACACGCTTTGGAACTTCACGCGCGTTGATAAGTGACGGAGGATCACACTTCTGCAACAAATTGCTAAATAATATCCTTGCAAAATATGGAGTCAAGCACAAGGTTGCCACAGCCTATCATCCCCAGACGAGTGGTCAAGTGGAAGTGTCAAATAGAGAGGTAAGGCAGATTCTGGAGAAAACAGTGAATGGGAATAGAAAGGACTGGGCTGGGAAGCTCGACGACGCATTGTGGGCATATCGAACTGCATACAGAACTCCCATAAGTACTTCTCCGTATAAATTAGTTTATGGGAAGGCATGTCACTTGCCGTCGAGCTTGAACACAAAGCCTATCTGGCAATTAAAAAGCTGAACATTGATATGGATTTAGCTGGAGAGAAGAGGTTGCTGCAACTCAACAAGCTTGATGAGTTCCGACTGCACGCCTATGAAAATGCCAAGTTGTATAAAGAGAAGACTAAAAGATGGCATGACAAGCACATCCAACATCGAGAGTTTGAGACGGGGCAAGAAGTTATTCTATTTAATTCGAGGTTGAAGTTTTTTCCTTGAAAGCTAAAGTCTCGTTGTTCAGGCCCTTTCGTTGTCATAAGTGTGAAGCCTCATGGAGCTGTGGAGTTGCGGGATATGAGCTCCAATGGTACCTTCTTGGTAAATGGCCAGCGGATAAAATATTATTGGGGTGGGGATGTTGCACGTCACAAGACCTCGATGGACCTATCAGATGCTTGACAACGTGTTCAGTCGTGCCGCGACGTTAAATCAGGCGCTGGATGGGAGGCAACCCATTGAATTGTTGTAACCGTCGTGCCCCGACAATAACTAAGGCGCTAGTTGGGAGGCAACCCAACAATAGTTATAGTGTTATTTGTACGTTTTGTAGCATGCTAACCAATGCAGGTGACAAAGGGCAGGCGAAAAGACCATCGACCAGGGTAAATACAGGTAAAAAAGTGCAAAAAAGTGTTGCCCAGTAGCGCGAACTTCGCGCTACAGTTTGCGCTAACTGGGCGACATTCTGCCTAAGCTGCATAAACTAGCGCAAAGTAGCACGAAGTTCGCGCTAGAGTTCGCGCTAAAAACGGAACATTCTGCCTAGACTAGCGCAAAGTTAGCGCGATCGCGCTAGTGTTCTCGCTAGTCCCGCCCCAGAAATCACTGGACTGGGGTCGTTTTAAAGTTTTTTTTATTTTATTTTTCCTTTTAAATCTTTAGCCTAACTTAAATCCTCTAATATACAAACCCTCCCCACGATTCACTCCCATCTTCCTCCCAACTCTCACTATTCCCCCATCTCCCAACTCTCACTATTCCCCCTTTACCCCCCAATCTCACGATTCCACTCCTCCCACCAGGCTCACACACACGTCTTCTCTCTACTCACCACCATCCACACCACAGGTATGAGCCCTAGTGCATTCTCTTCTCTTTCTCTTCTTAATTTTTCTTTTCTTTTTTTTGATTTTTGTGGTTGTAGTTCAATGTGGTTTTGTAGTAGTTGTTCTTTGTGTTTTTTCATATGGATCTTTCTCTTCTTAAT